ACCCTCTTGACCCTAGTCAGCTGACCAGGGAAGGTGGTCAGCCTACTCCCCCCTGTCTTGTCCTTGTGAGTTGTTGCCAGCTGTGCTAGCTGGAAGGCACAGAATTGATCCTCCATACACGTGTATGGAGGATCTTCAAACTTGTTTTCTAGCTTCTTGGAGAAGCTTTGAACCCCTTTGGCTATAAGAGAGACCCTCTCCCTCATTAGCAAAGGTTCAAAATTTGGTTTGAGGCATACACATATATCTCTCCTTTTGTCTCTATATTCAAACCTTAAAGGTCCCTTGTTCTTGCACCTTTGCACTACACCCCATAGCATAACACATCCAACACTAACCTAAGCTTCTTGGAGGGTCTTGAGAAGTCTTGAAGGTCTGGTTTTTGGTCCCAAAGTGTGCTGTCTTGCTGAGCTTCTAGGGTAACCCTTCTTTCCCTCTTTTAAGCATTTGTTTGCTTCATCTTTTAGCTATACTTGTAAGAATATTTAAACTTTGGTGTAAACTGAAAAAAGTCTTATTTTGAGGCCCTTAACATGTTTGTTTAAGATCATTTTTCTGTTGGGAGTCATCTACCCCCTTGCATGCTTCATTTCACCTTGTTTTGAGCCATGCCTTAGAGCATTTGTGTTGGCCTTTGTTTGGACTTTTAGCCACTAAAATCCAATGGATTTTCAGTGGCTAGCATGCTGTTTTGAATGCCAAAATCAGAGAGGGGTGACCCTTTCACCCATTGTCTTGTTTACTAGCATATTTGGCCTAACAAAGGAGCCCTTATTTGCATGCTTCCAAGCCAAGTTTCAGGCCATTTTTGGTGGGTTTTAGGATCTGCATAGGCTTTGTCCAGGGCCCATTTTTCCATTTTGGGTGTCCATCTTGCATGTGTAGAACAACCCTCTTTATAGCATATCAAAGGAGCCTGTCATTCTTGCATGCATAGACCATGTTTCAATGGGTTTTTGGGCTTTATTTGGCATTTCATACCTCTTAATTTTTCTGGTTTGGTAGCCTCTTGATTGCCTCACATGCTTGTAGTACAAATCCTCTTTACTAGCTTACATTGCATGCTATTTTGGCCTTTGATTCTAGTAGTTTTTGGCCATGCTTTAAACTGATTTTGTGCATGTTTTGGACTGCCTTAGCTCTGTTTTTATGCCTCATGGTTGAATGATGCTTGCTATGCATGGTTGTAGTTCAATACCCTTGTCTAGCTTTGAGTTTTGGAGCCTATTGCATGCTTATGTTGAGGTGTTTCCATGTTTTGGGGTCATTGTGCATCATATTTCAGAGCTTACATGTATGCCATATTCCCATATTTTTCACTCTTTAAATGCGTTTGAGAGTCGTGCTTGTATGCCTCGTTTTTGGACCATTACATGAGCTTCATTTCCATGCATTTTGAGCCATCATTTTAGACCATTTTTCCACTGTCTTGAACCTCCCTAGGGTCTATTTGGGGTGGGTTGGGTCATGTGAGCATTGCTTATGTACCTCTAGTGTAACGCACTTACTAGTTTCGGTATCCGGGCCATCTAGTATGCATTGTGTGAGGTGTTTGCATGATTCAGGACCATCTTGCATGTCATTTCAGAGCTGGAAAATGTATGATTGTATGCCATATTTCAACCCTTTCCATGCTTTGGTAGAGTTGCATTTGGTGCCTTAGGTTTGGTCCCTTGTATTTGCGCATATTTGTATGTGTTTTTGTTGCCTAATTTCATCATGTTTGGCCACTGATTTGAGTATGGCTGAGGCCCATTCATTTTAGTTTAAGCCCATCTTACATTATGTATGCCATATCCATGTTGTTGCATGCTTGATCGTTGCATTGTGTATGCCTTGTTCATGTCTTCGTGCATGTCCATCTTCGTATGTGCATCGCGTATGCCATATAGTTCATGTGTATTGAGTATGCCATTCTTAGTTCATAGCATTGTGTATGCTAGTTGCATGTTTGCATATCATCCCTCGCATGCTAGCATGATTAGGTTGCATTGCGTTTAGGGTTGCATGCTTGTCGTATTGTGTATGCCATGTATATTGCATTGTGTTTGGAATAGGGTTTAGTCCAAACACGGAAAATGAGGGACGTTTCGTTCTCCAAGTGACGAAACGTGCCTCGATTCTCGATCGCCGACACTCCAAATTACCCATGATGGAGTTTAGGCCTTGTTGTGTTTATATGCGCATTCATTTTACATCGAGTCGTGCAATCTGACTCCTCGGCCATCATGCATCGAGATGCGTGATTGGTGGCACGAGGATCGAGGACTACACTCCCTGGAGCTTGTGCAAGGACAGGGAGAGTGGTCTTGCATACATATGTTGAAAATACTTTGCCATGCCCCTTTCTTGCTCTCTATTGCAGCAAACCGAAAACTAGCAACAAAAACTGGTCAACAATCTTCTGGAGCTTTGTACAGTGTTTTGGGACCAGTTGCAAACAGAGGCAAATCGAGACATCGTGATGGATTTCCCGACAAGGCGACTTGAGCATGCATGCATCCCTATCGTTCAAGACCGAGCTGAGGCAGTCCATTTCATATGTTTTGCATGCTAGCTTATTTATTTTAGTTAATTTGTTAATTAATTAGGGTTGCGTAATAATTAGCTGTAATTCATTATTCATTCGGTTGGGTATTATTTTTTCAAACCCTCCGAGGAGGGCAATGTTGTAATAAGTGTGCGTGTGTGTGATGTATGTCTTCCAACCCCACGTCTTTCTCCCTTTTATTTACCAGCTTATGATGGTTAGCTTAGGGTACGTTTCAATTAGCATACTTATGCTTGCATGTTTGCATCCATTCATCTGTTTTGCATGCACCGAGCTCGGCGCATCATACTAACTGCGTTATGTTTCAATTCCGAGTTGAATACGTGTATCAGTTGTTGCATTTCATATGCCATTTTAGAATAGCCAAGCCTATCTTAGTTGCATTTTTGCATGTGTTGCATTAGGCATTTCAGCATAGTTAGGATTCATGCATGATTTCTAATTAGCTTCTTTCTTTGGCTTGGAGTACTCGGTTAGTATTTATGGTTTGGCATCCTTGCATGTGTGTAAGTGACTGCCATGATAGCATGCTTACTGTGAGGCTATGTGTTTATGTGATATAACTGCCTGAATGCCTGTGGGTGAAGGTTGGGTTGTTTGAGTTGGAATAATTCGTCGAAACCCATGTTTTTGCCTACTTGCGAGTAGCAAACTTTAATTCATTTTGAATACAAACGGATATGAGATGTTTTGTTCCAATTCAGGCGACCCAGTCTATACTTGTATGCTGTGTGCATCACATAGTAATTCTAGGCTAATAACTGGAATAAGAAAGCATAATGTTTTCAAAACTCGATATCATGGTTAGTAGAGGCCGATGAGTTGGAATAATTCGTCGAAACCCATGTTTTAGCCTACTTGCGAGTAGCAAACTTTAATTCATTTTCAATACAAACGGATATGAGATGTTTTGTTCCAATTCAGGCGACCCAGTCTATACTTGTATGCTCTGTGCATCACATAGTAATTCTAGGCTAATAACTGGAATAAGAAAGCATAATGTTTTCAAAACTCGATATCATGGTTAGTAGAGGCCGATCTTTGATCGGGCAAGCGGGGGTGCTCACGAAGTGACCTTCCCCAATCGTATCCAAGTTCCCGAGCCGAGGCAACTTTGGTGATGACGAACACGTGGCCTTAAGCACGAGTCAAGGTTTCCTAAATTTTCCAAAATAAAATATCTAGGTGGCGACTCTGTATCTGGAAAAGCAGTCCATGTTTGGCACTTCTTTCAAAAAAATCTATTTTCAAAAACGATTTGCCGGATTTGGACTCTTTGATGATTCATCGGTCTTGCATTGCACTCTGCGAGATTAGATACACAACCGTGACATTGAGTCCTGAACTGTAGTAAGCCCAGATGAACAAAATGGGATTTCCTCCCGGTACGTTCGGGGACGTCTACAGTTTCTGGCGACTCTGCTGGGGAGTTAGAGAACTTGGCTCAAACTCATTAATACAATTTAAACAATTAGGGACTAAAATAACACAAATTGCATATTTTTGGGACTAAATGTGAAAACTTTTACTTAAATTTCCATATTTACACCTAAATTTAACGTCATCTACAAATGGAGTTGGGCTGGGGGAGCTCAAATCAAAACACTTTTTTATATATTGAGGACTAAATTGACAGAATAAAAATAATAATAACCAAAATAACACCAATCGCATATTTTGGGAAAATGATAATCTAATAAGTTTTTAAACTTTTACAGAAACATCATGGAAACTAAAGGTTGTAGGTAAAGTGGTCCATCCACCATTAATTTCAAGGGCAAATTATGCTGGTAGTCCATATATTTTTATCCTTGTGCCATTTTAATCCCTGTAATTTTAATTGGCTCAATTTTTACCATGAATTTATGATTTTGTCTCAATTTGGTCCAATTGATTACAATTGTTAGTACTTTTTGATAGAAAATGCGTATATAAGTGGCTGGTGTTATGTTTTTGTAATCAAAATTGTAAACTTGTTCAACTCTGTGTGTTAATCTCAACCAACTCCGTTACCATTTTCCTTCAAAAATCCTAATCGATGTTATCAATTGGACTAAATTCACACAAAATCTAAAATTAAGTGCCAAAATTGAGCTAATTAAAATTACAAGGACCAAAATTACACAAGAAGAAAAATGCAGGGACTACTAATGTAATTTATCCTAATTTCAATTGATTTTGTGGATGAGGCAAAATTTTACTCACATGGTATGTTATGAATTGCAGGTGGAGTCTTGGTTCATATATTCCTGTTGTATTTGTCATTGTAATGTATTTTGTCTACATATCAAACAAAATAAAGAAAGAGGATCAATTAAAGATTGGAAAGTTTTTGGAGAATTATAAAGCTCTCAAACCCGCAAGATACTCCTACACAGATATCAAGAAAATCACAAATCAATTTCAGAACAAAGTAGGCCAAGGAGTCTATGGATCAGTGTACAAGTGAAATCTTTCAAATGATGTTCATGTTGCAGTTAAGATTCTTAACAATGTGAAAGGAAATAAGGACGAATTCATCAATGAAGTGCAAACAGTATGTGGAATCCACCATATCAATGTGGTTCACTTGGTCGGATACTATTATGACAGATTCAGAAGAGCTCTTCTTTATGAGTTCTTACCAAACAATTCGCTTGAAAAGTTCATCTCCTCTGATAGAAAGAAGCGTTCAATTGGTTGCGAGAAACTGGAAGATATAGCTCTTGGCATAGCTAAAGGAATTGAATATCTTCACCTCGGGTGTGATCAACAAATCTTTCACTTCGATATTAAACCTCACAACATCTTGTTAGACCATAAGTTCAACCCAAAGGTCTCTGACTTTGGTCAATCAAAATTGTGTTCAAAGGAACAGAGTGCTATATCCATGACTACTGCCAGAAGCGCCGTAGGGTACATTGCCCATGAAGTGTTCTCTGGAAACTTTGGGAATGTGTCATACAAATCAGATGTTTATAGTTTAGGAATGTTGCTAGAAATGGTTGGAGCGAGACAAAATACAGTGGCACAAAAGAGTGAAAATTACTTTCATGAATGGATTTACAAGCGTTTGGATCAAGGAGAAGAGTTAGGAGTTTAGATTGAGAAAGAAGGAGAAGCAAAGATTGTGAAGAATCTAACAATAGTGGGACTTTGGTGCATACAATGGTACCCAATAAATTGACCATCGATGAAAGTTGTGGTGCAAATGCTAGAGAGAGATGGAAGCACTCTAACAGTTCTCTCTAGTCCATTTGCCTGCACAAATCTAGTGTCAACAAGAGGAACAATGGGTAGTACAACTTTTAATAGCATGTTAGAAGTAATTTCTAAATCTGAGTGAGTATAAATTAGTGATATTTTATGGAAATTTTAATGTTTTTATTGTATAATAGAAATTAAACTTCGTGTTCTCAGCAATGAGTGTAGAATTAATTGTGTATTTATGTATTACTATAAGCTTTTAATAATACAGCTTGTGCATGGCCTTTGTAGTAATAGTCATCTTTTAACATATAAGAAAGATTTATGTTTTCCTGTCAAAAGAAGTATCTTCTCACTCAAAACTTTGTCATAATAATGCAAACCTATGAAACATCAACAACAAACTTGCAGTAAATCTTTTCTCCTGTTTTGCTAAATCTACAATAAATTTGGAGGACTTTGAATTTACAAGTTCTTCATTGCATGGTTAAAATGGAGATCTCCTTTTTAATACACAAAGTTATAACCCATTATTAAAATTCAAAATAAACAATCTATAATTGTTATGACATAGCATGCATTCCTTGGAATGTCTGAATATTTTAGCATTTGGACTTAATACCCACTTTCTACCACATGGATTATTGTCAGAGAGACCAATCATCATCTACTGAGAAGTTCTACTACATGGTTGTTATGGTTACCCTTAACAATGACACCCTAATTGTCAAGGGTGAAGTCAAGATTTCATCCTAAAGGGGGCCAAGAAAAATTTTATAGAAAAGTTTCATACAAAATACATGATTTGTAAATGAAAACAAACATTCATAAATGCTATAGGAAAAGAAATTGTCGAAAAGTTTATTTTATGGGCTCAAATTAAGTATACGTTGATAGTAAAATGCCTTTTAAGTGAAATCCCAAAGGGTTGGCCTAGTGGCAAGACCTTGGGTCTTGGGGGTGTGCTCCCTCCAAGGTTCAAGGATTGAAATTTCTTAGGTGCTAATAATTCCTTAGGTCTATCGGACTGGAGGAAAACCCTTGAATTAATCGTGGTGCACTTGCGGGAAACTCCTTGCCAAGGCTTTGCACCCCTGGGGATTAATCGGGCTTTGATCCGGACACCCAAGGGTCAATCCAAAGAAAAAAAAAGAAAAAAGAATATGCCTTTTTAAGTGAAGAATGAACAATCCCTGTAGCCATGATAAATATTTAAAATAAAAACTCAATTTTATTAGAAGAAATTGTGATATGGAAATAAAATGTACAATTGTATCAAATAGAAAAAGGGAGAAATCTCCACTAGAATAATATATATTTAATGAAATATCGAAACACAAACCATATGTAAGAGTTCTAGGGCTATAATCATTGTGAATTGTTCTCACTCCTTTTGCCCTATTTATAGAAATTGATTTAAAAATTTTGTGAAATAACGACACAATTTTACATTCTAAAATACAAAGAGAAAGATATCAAATTCTTTATATCACAGCCTACACACACAAAAAAACTTTCCTTAAAATTTATATAGGGCAATACATGAATGGTAAATTTAATTGATTAATGGTTATAATGCAGTGGAGGTTCTCATATTAAGTAAGTCGTAAAGTCTTCACATTATATTACATATAAAAAAATATTTCAAGATGAAGGTGGTAAGGAGAAATATCATTGGTTATAACCTAGGAGAGTAGGTCCTTTGCGCTATACTATATATAGGGTTTTCAAAAATCAAGGGTGGCCATGGCACCCCAGGCTGCCCTCTCCCTCCCTGGTAAATATTGGATATATCAACAATATTACGTGGTTGTATCACTATTCAATAAATAATTTTATTTTACGGTAGAGACAACAATATTATGAAGTTAATGAAAGACGAGACTTGTCTATCTAACTTTATTTGCAGCCTTTTTTATTGATCGATGACACCATGTAAAATAATGTCACCGTTACCCTCAATATTTTCTCCTCCCCTCACCCTGAAGAGGTTATTTGCTTGTGATGGAGCAATGCTCCACATCTTTTAAATTATCACTTGAAACTCATCAAGTCTTCTCCAAAATCCAACAATTAACATCCAGATGGGGCACCACATAGTGATATAACAAAATTAAGAACATGTATCATCAACAACTCGGACAATTTTACTAGTAATAACTATGAACAATCAATCCTGCAAAAAAAATATAATCATTCATTTATTCACTAATTTGATTATTATACTCAACCAAAATATAAACCTAACATCACATTTCAAGTTCCTAAATCCATCAAGATTTCAACATAAATAATAACAAGCAAACAAACAATCAATCAAAAAGTAATTAGAAATCATAGCACAGACCGTTTCAATCCCAATCACCGTAACGAGTGGGCTCGAGACCTCTAGGTCCTCCAATCTCACCGGTCTCTTTGTTCATATCAAAGTCGTCATCTTCATGGTCATCTTCATTGTCCTTTTCGTTTTGAATCTTCTCTTTGATTTCTGATTCCTCTTCTTCAAGCTTATTCGGGTGAACTTGATCTTCTTGTTGAAGCTGAGTCGAAGAGCAGAAGAGTCGCCTCGCCAAGTTCGAACTGGAAAAAGTTACCGATTCAGATCTCGCGTATGAAAGACCCAATTTTGGAGCAGATAGCTTGATTAGTGATAAGAATAGACAGCCTTGATTAGCTTATTTGTTTTATCCTTTTTCTTGTTTGAGTTCCGATTTAGAAGTAGCACTAAATAAAGAGTGTAATAAAAAATAAAATAAACTGAAGGCCAAACTATCATATCAGTGTGGGGTTCACATCTTATAGCGATCCCGGTTATCCCTTTTCTGTTCTGTTGTATTCCGGACTCGGTTCTGTGAAGTTGGTAGTGGCGTCTATCTTGTTGTGTCCTTTAATTCCACTTCATTGAGTTTTAGGATGTTTATGGGCTTGTGTTGGACAGGTGGGTTAAGCCTCGGTCTATATCCTTGTTCCCCAGGATTTTGGTGTTACGCTCGAGCGGGTCGTTCTTCGCTCGAGCGGGTAGTTTTGCGCTCAAGCGGAGATTGCACACTTCTAGTATTTTCGTGTTCCTGTAAAACTTCTGCAGATGTGATTTTTACGCTCGAGCGGGTTTGTTGACGCTCGAGCGGTGGCGCTTGAGCGGGTAGTACTTCCAGAGTATAAGTTCTGGGAGGGGGAAATCCACGCTCGAGCGGACTAGTTTTCGCGCTCGAGCGGATGTACTTTATTCATGTGTCTTGGCGCTCGAGCGGGCCTTATTGCGCTCGAGCGTGTCCGGATTTTTGTTCTTGGTGCTCGAGCGTCATGTTCTCCGCTCGAGCGGGTCATACGTATATGAGTTATCCGCTGGGTGATTTCAAATCAATTTTTGCTTTTCCTTCTCTCTCCTACTTTTTCTAAAAACCCTTTTGAGAACCTCTCTCTCTAGATACTCCCTTCTCTCTAGGGTTTGATCTAGTTAGAGTGTCCTCCTTCTCTTCGGCCTTTGTAAAAGTTGTGTTGATCGTCGAGGGCGTCATTTTAATCTGAAAATTTCAAATTTTGGTGCATTTTGGTTTTGGTCTTCATCTCCATTGGGGCTCAAACTTTTTGGTCTTCATCTCCATTGGAGCTCAAACTTTGAGGTAGGGATATCCTACTCCTTTCTATGAGCTTTGTCTTTAAATTTTAGTATTTTAAGATGTTGGGGTTGGTTTGGTAATTTGGTGAAAGCTTGGGGCTTTTGTGTAAATTTACAAAGGTTGGGGTTTTAGCTAAATAAAGCCTAGATGCATGTTTAGCATGGGAAGGATGAAATTAATGACAAAACATTAATGAAAATGGAACCTAAGGGTTGTAAGGTTAATTATGGAAAATGCCCTAATTACATTGATTGATTAATTTGTAAAATTAATTGTTGGAAATGAGGAATTGAATTGGGAATGTGGAAATCGGAAAGGGAAGGGGTTAAAGGGTGTAGTTGGATTGTTTATCGCTCACCTGGTTGAAATGTTGATTATATATCCATTGTTGCATTTATTTTCTGTATAGAAATAACTGCTTTGGGCTATCGGTGGAGGATAGTCTTGATTGTTGTAGACAATGCATGATGATTAGGCAAACCGAAACTAATCACTGAAACGAGTCATTGAGTATGATGATTGAAAGAACACGTTAAATTTATGTGTTGTGTGATGATGTGTATAATTATTGTTTATATGCATTGTGTTGTGTTGGAGGAGATAGGGGATGTTCTCCGAGGTTTAGGGGAAGATAGGGGATGGACCTCTAAACCGGATGTTGTTGGGAGGAGATAGGGGATGGACTCCGTAGATAGAGCTTATATGCTTATCTAGTGATGTATTGACAGAGCTCATATGCTTGTCATTGGAAGTGTGATAGTGCTCATATGCATGTCTGTGGAAGTGATGATATAGCTTGTATGCTTATCTGTTGTTGTGTGATATAGCTAGTATGCTTATCTATTATGAAATGGGAAGTGTTTGATATGAGTCACTATCTCATATGAATTGTTTGGCCAGGTTCTGAGCCATGGTTGTAAATTGAGAATTGAAAGGAATTGGAAAATGAATTGTAACATGGACTTGCATGTCAAGAGACTATAAAGTGTGATAAGAGAAAGTATCAATGTTGGCCATCTATCAACTGCTAATCTTTTAGTCATTGTTCATATTTGGTTTAGTGTAATTCTACTGGGCTGTGGCTCACCCTATATGGGAATATCATTTTCAGGTACAGGTAGCATGCCGCCTCCAAGGACATAGCTTGGGAGGCTAGAGGCGGACACACTTTTGTCGTTTTATTTTGATGTATTACATGTAAATTCAAGCCAAGGGCTTAATGTGTAAATGAGTCAGTACTCTTTTGTTGTAACCAAGTGTTAACTTGGAAAGCTGT